CTCCTCCATAGCCTCTTCAGATACTGGCAGGTTGCTATGAGATCCCCACACAATCTTCTCTTCTTCAGGCTGAACAGCCCCAGCTTCCGCAGCCTGTCTTTGTAGGGTAGGTGCTTCAGTCCTCTTATCAACTTTGTGGCCTCCTCTGGACTTGCTACAGCAGTTTCATGTCTTTGTTATGATGAGGGCACCAGAACAGTATGCAGTACTCCACGTAGAAATGTATATGGAATTTCATTGCTCCCTGCCTGCACAGCCCTGATTCAAACATCAGCAAACAGAGGGAATTCTTCACACCTCTGCTTACCATTTGTGCCCAGTTCAATTAAAACGGGACACGACCAGTGAAGTGCATGAGTTAATTTAGAGCTCAGCTGCCTACTCAACTTCCTGGCAAAAAAAAATCCTCCCTGAATGAACAAACATGATTTGTCCAAGGTTAGTGCTAACAGGTCATAAAGAGAAGCTATTTTGCTCTAAAAGCATGGTCAAACATTATTTAAAAGCATCACAGTTCTGACATGGTTTCCAGCAATGAAGCATGATCTGCCTCTTCCAGACCTGGCTGAACGACAGCCCTAGAATATACCACCGAAGTGAGCACAGGACAAGTTAATCCCATGGAGGTTTCCTTTTATTTTAAATTGAGAAGAAACTGCTGATTTATTCAGTTTTCTTCTTCACTGTTAGAAACCAGCAAAGGTGTTTGGTTCTCTGGAACTGGTGTCTGCCAATTGCTACTGTTAAGTAAAAGCAGACTTAAGCTTTTATTATTGATTTTGTGATTCTTCCTGACTCTACTTTGCTTGAAGAAAATAGTCTGTGCCATTAAACAGAGCAGAGGGAATATAAAATAACTGAACATCCAACTAAATTTCTATGCTTTAGGCACCACACCTATTGAAAAGAAGGCAACTACTAAATGTCTTTCATCACTCAGAGGTGACTACCCCTTGCCTATATTCTAAGTTTCCCTTATAAGGTGTTATTTACTTTTCTCACCCTGTATTGAACAGAAAGGCTCTTTTAAAACCCAGAGTAGTGTGAAAGTAAGATAATAACAGGATCCTCAGGTATCCATTTTGCACAAAGTCATTAAATACACAGCTGAAGCCTTTCCCTGCTGCAGATTGTTGTAGGGCTGGAACTCTTCCCTCCTAGCCAGTGCTGGGGTGTTGTTTTTATGCCCTCTGTATCTCTAAGGCACATGCTTTCGCTTTTTAACTATTGTTTGCTGAGATGGTTCCTCATTACCCACTTTTTTTACTTGTTTCTTCAAATACTTCCACCCAGTGGCAGACACTCCAGTTTCATCACTATTATGTCTGGGATAATGCCATGTTTTCTGGCTTTTCTGGATGACTTTAGAAGGAAGTACTTGATGATCTATTCCAAGAATTGCAACATTTCTCAATATTTATTCTAACACATCAAGCAATTCCCTGAGGCATCCTTCTCCAAGTCTTTAACATCTGACTATAATTTGGTTAGATTTTCAATTTTCACAACCATAAATTAGAAGGCAAAAATGAAAAGTGAGCTGAATATTCATTGTTTGACTTCAGTTTGTGTACTTTTGATAACCAAATCTTATTTAAGTTATTGAATACAGCTGATGACTTGACAAATTTTGACATTATATACTTCTGGATATCCTCACTAGCTTCTGCTGTTAGGCATATCAATTGACTCAGTCTGCTACTTTGTCTTGTCATACAATGCTCAAATTGAGAGTTATAGAGTTTCCCTGGAGTTTTTTTTAAGAGTGATCATTAATCTTGCCATTCTGGAAGTGCTGAATAATCTTATGTTCATTTCTGTTAGGCTGAGCTACCACTTGAAAGACCTCTGTCTCCAGCTGATGTGAAACTTCAAGTAAAGAGCTTGCTGAGTCCTGCAACGTCTGTCAGACACTGTATCTTCAATTAACATAATTGTGTGCACTGAGCCATTTGTTCCAACCTCTATTTATTCTGTGCATGATGCATCTTGATTTAACATCTTGATAATAATTTATGTTGTTATACCACAGCCAAAATGACCCAGAGATGGAAAGTGTCAAATGTTTTCTTAACTGATGTTTATGGTAACTGGGTTTTACTACTGACATTAAAAGACCCTGCACTGTCAATCCTAAAGACCAACACCACCGACTAATGAAAGAAGATGGAGAAGCTGATGAAAAGCACACCCAGGACTCTGCAGACCTGCATATGTCTCCACATATTTCACCTGTACACTTGAAAGTCACCTTTTCTTTCAGTTCTCCCACTGTGGAATGGCAATAACATAGCAGCAATGAGGAGAGCTTAACTTATGTTCACGGAGCGCTCTGGTATTCCACGACACAAAGCAGCATCTCACTGCTACTACCACTATCCCAGCAAGACTGACTGCAATGTTTCCTTGTTCACACTTGATTTTCTCAGGGTTGTTAGTCTGTTCTGAAAGCCTTTGATCCTTTAGTCAAGACTGCAGCCAAACCTCCGTATTAGTTCAGTTCTTGAGGTGGTTGCAGACATTTTCAGTCCTCCCACTGCCCAGGGGCATGTTGTGATGACCATTCATCCTAGAATGAACCATCACTGCCTTCATGGATGGTACAAACTAACCATCAAGTGGTTATTACACCTTTCACTGCCTGTAAGCCTCTGCTTCTTAAGTGATCCCAATAATAAGCCCAAAGTTGTTTCCCCCCTGTTATAAGCAAAACCTCACGCCTTGATTTTTGTGTTTGGATAGACAGCTGTGTCCCACCTGAAGTCCTATGATCCCTTGACTGCCTTCTCAGAGAAAGGCATAAAGCTGGAAGGAGTCAAGGAACAAAGTTACATGTGAGAAATTTTAAGATTAATTTATATGTTATAAGGAAGCACCTGAAATTCCTTTGATCAGTGAAAGTTTACCATAGTTCTTAGTATTTCTGCTCCCATTTAAATCGGCAGCTCTGGAAAGGTGAATCCTGCACTAACACTGCCTTTGGTATCTGTCCACAAGAGGTCTCTCCCTTGCTAAAATACAGACGTTATAACCAGTAGATGCTACAAAAAAGACTGAAACCCCACAAATAACTCGGTGGAATTTTTCAGAACTTTTGAAGAGCTGAACAAAAATTAAAAATATGTTCAATAGTTCAAAGCAATAAAATTTTTGTGCTTACCTAATACACACAACCAAAGTGTCCTTAACAAATCTTGCAAGATAAGGATATTCCTTGATCTTTGAAAAGTACCTATGACAAATTTTGGGGCACATGCCCAAGCACCTTAAAGGTGTTCAGTCTTCTAGAAGCTTCACTGCTTTCTGCAGGGCTGTTGTGGCAAAAAAATCATTTCTGCTCCAGTACCAATAACGAATGTGGAAATTGATTGCTGTATTTTGATGGAGATTGTAAAGATTAATTATTAATTTTGCATGCTTTTCTTTCAAGGCAAGAAAAGCTGTGCTTCCAAACAACATTCTGCCCACCATTAGCTATGCCTACTGCCTTTAAGTGTAAAAGCTGAGTCAAGTGTTTTCAAAATATAGTCTTTTTATCTTCTTTCCAATCACAAGTTTTGGATTCAAAGGAAAGATTAGTTGCTTCATTTGCTGCAAAGTGCTGCGATTAATCCTACTAATTGAATTACTGTATCATTCTTTCTGCTTCCTTGAAAGAGACAAAGAAGATCCAAAAGATTTTCTATGCTAAGCTAAATAAAAATGGACTGGCTCAGGCAAAATGAGATGCAAGCCCATGTGAGACAGGCTTGTTCTGAGTGTAAAAAGCTTGTTTACCACAGCAAGGCACAACTGCCAGACATTGTATGTCTCAAGGTCATCAGATTCAAAACATATTCAATAAAAGAAGTGATGAATTGTTCACTGATACTAGATCATAAGACATCTTATGTCCACCATGGATCAAAGAAATCACCTTCAAAGATACTCCTACAGCTACCCCAGTGAAATGGTTAAGTGTAGGATATTCCTGTTAGGGTGTGGGAGGGCAAAATGTGGCTCACAAAGATTAATTAGCTCTATGTTTATACCAGTAAATTAAACAGGGACAGAACATGGGCTCAGGCATTGTCCCACAATCATCTGTAATGTTTAAACATCAGCAAGCTCTAATGGCAACTAACACCCCCCTCTGACAATGCTGAAGCACATTTTGGGGTCGCACAAGCCAGCGAGTGCTGCCAACAGCCTTCTGCACTGTGTGCTGCAGGGGAAGGATGTCAGCTACGTGACAGCTGTGCTGAGACATTTACTCTCAGGGCCAGAGATCTAGGCCCAGTCCATTTTGTTTAATAATAAAGCTGTCACCACCAAAACCATCTTTAAAGCAGTCTAGCCACTTCAAAAACACTGCCATTAACTCTTCTTCCTCAGGCTGATAAGTCCACATAGGGAAACATCAGGCAATTTGTGGGAAAGTGAGATTCCTTGAACAGCTGCACTCCAGTTTAGAGTTGTACCATGGCATGTGTTTAACATAGTGCTGCTTCTTAAAGCCTGTCTCTGGTAACAAGCACTTGCATCTGCAGAGTCCTCACCATCAGAGTCCTCATTCAGCTGTTCACAGCCCTTCAAAGTGTTCACACAGAGGGTGAAATACACTTTCATGCCACATTCAGGTTGGGGGACAGGACAGGCTTCCTAGCAGTAAGGGCTGCACACAGGAATCCCTGTGCCAGGAGCAGGCATTCCCTGGACACAGTCAACAGGTGATGCATGTCCCCTCTGGGAGACACAATCCACTGAGGGACAAGATCACACTGCACATGCAGACAGATTGTGAGAGGCCAATGACGTCAGCCTCATCAGCAGGTGTCACCTTTCTTCTGCTCACAGAGAGAATCTGGATTACTTCCCAGCTCTGGCATCAGTGGCATCCCACTGCCAGAAGCATGACCAAGCCAAGCATTTCGACAAACATGAAACCTGTGAGTCAGGCATTGTCTGCCATCCTCTATATAGTAGATTTATTTATTTTAGCTGAATGAACCATTCAGCATCTTTGAGCAGTGGGAAGAATTAATATAACTAACATCTAATTTTATCCCCACTGAAAGAAATCTGTAACAAGACTAAAGCCATTCACAGCTGGGTCATGGTCAAGGTCATGATCTTACTGGTGGAACTTTCCTCCAAAACCACTCTGCAAAGAGGTATGACTATGATCCCTTTCAAGTAATGAGGGACAAAGACAATAATAAAGGTGGAGAGCAGGGCTCAAATTAACTGAAGATGCCAACAGTAGGCATTTTTATTCGAGTATCTAATGCTGGTATCACAGGCTTAAGGATGTCTCCATTGAGTCGTAAATCATAGTCACGTTAGCTTAGGACATGTACACAAGCTGGAATTGTAAGTACCCTGAGAGGATTAACTTTAGTCCTACCCCTTTGGACCACCAGTATTGAAAACCACTGAGTCTGACCTCAGGCTGTGAAGCTTGAATGAAAGCTAAAGTCTGAAATGTGTCTGAGTTCCTCACCCATCCCTCCCTACAGCATTGATGTCTTTCTCGTCATGCAAAAGTAGTTTCCTGGACAATTACCCATTCAAGACTTTCAACCCTTTTGCATTCTACCCTCTGCCTCTGCTGAAATGCAATGTGACAGCATACTTCACTCAATGAGAAACTGCTTCTCAGAGAGAAGCACAAAGCAGACAACCTTAACAGAGACATGAGGTGCAGGTGGGAAAAAAACATTCATGTGTATCAAATCAAGTCTGGTGACCTTAAGGGTCAACCCTTAATATGGCTTATACCATTTCTTAATGATCAACAGGAGTAACTGTGATGTCTCACCTTGAAGTATTCAGCTTCACAGGTGGAATTTTCACCACTATGTGAGTCACACTCCTCACGCACATTGGCAAACTCGACGCCGTCGGAGCAGGATTGCTTCTCCAGCTGGTTGCGGCAGCACTGCACCTGAGTCATGCTGAAAAGAGCACGGGAACAAGGGGAAACAACGTCAGACATGGGTCAAGAACAGATAATGCAAGTTCTGACAATTAGCACTTGCACTACTGACATAGGAAGAGGCTCCTGTGGGAACACAGTTACAACACAAAGATATTCTCCAGGAGTAGACAGAATGCCTAGGTGACATGTTTAATTGCCTGTCTGCCTTGCAGTCTGTCCTAACAACTCTTTTAAGCAAGTGAGTAACTTCAACCACACCTGCCACAGGGCTTAAGGTCTCCAGGACTCACATTCTTGCATGGTTTGTGACAACTAGTGGCTGAGACTGATGGAAGGGAGAAGTTGGGCCCTGGATATGGCGAGAGCATGCAATCCCATAGCTAGTCTACCCTAGGCACCTGCTGCCCCAAACCAATAGGTACAGCATGTTGAAGGAAGATCAGAGCATTGCTCTTTGAGACAATCAGAGATAATGGGGAGAAATGAAGATACCAAGGGAAGTAACAGTGAGAAACAGTGTATTGCAGACAAGGGGCTGAGACAGACTAGAGAAGGAAGAGTATTACAGGGCAGGGAGATGTGCAGAGGAGACAGGATGAAAATGTGCAGGAAACTCAGCTTTGTAAGGTCCAGTGCTCATAAAATCATACTGTTTTATCTCAGTGTCAGTGAAAAAATTGGAAACTCCTTCCTGTGGGAAAAAAAAAAAAAATCAGTGTGAGGAGGCTTTAAACTCCTCCACTCCTGTTGCTACTGCCACCTGAATGCAAAGCCCAGCGAAGGATGGGTTTTATGTGTAACTCTGCTTTGTTGGGCAGCTTTGTGGGTGAAGTTTGTGGGTAAAACTCTTCCACTGCTACAGACACTGGGAAACAGCGAAAAAAATTAAAGAATAACAAATTAGATTACACGTACAAGGATCTTAGCACATGCATGTGTTTTGTGGTAACCCAATTTTGCTAAGGATAAATGTTACCCAAGTTGCTTGGGGGAAAAGAAACTATCCCAAAGCTAATCCAAGCTGATAAATTCTATTTATAGTACAGCAGAAGCACCTAAAAGATACCCTAGAGCTCTGTAAGAGAAAATCCCTATAAATGCACTATTATACCCATCTTGTATACCTTACAGACCAACAACATTGAACACATTTTCTCTGCTGTTAAGGGCATTCACCTTTTTTTCCTTCCTTAACTCCAGCTATTTGAACAGATGAATAAATTTTTTTGAGGGTTAACTAGAAACACATAAAATTATGTAAAGATATGCAGCAATCCAATACCCTTTACTGCTAAAAATCTTTCATTTACACTGCTGGAAATTTTGTTAGTATAAGTAAGAGGGGTGGGTTACTTGCAGCACTGAACAGCAGGCTTCTCCTGTTCACCTGAGATAAGTGGATGCCCATGCATTCCCTCTGGAGGAGCTCTCCTGCTCTCCATGGCCATAGGATGAGCTGTCAGCTCCCAGGCAGTGTGAGGGACTCTCTCAGCTCTGAGGCCAGGCCATTAAAAGCAGGGGGTATGTGGGTGCTGCACTCAGATTATGCATCTCTGTGCACATGGATGAGGCCAGGCTGTCAAGCTACATTCCCAAAGATTCCCAATTACTGTTTATTGGATTGCACGAGTCCCTTCCAACCCAAACCATTCTATGATCCTACAATTCTGTGATTAGTAATGGTCTGACTGTGCATTTCTCACTTGGACAATAACAGCTATGGGATTTCAATGCATAGGAACAAAAACCAGGATAAGTTCATGAACAAATTACTCAAAAATAGACTAAAGTGATAGCAAGAAGTTAAGCCCAGGACAGTAACTTTACTTGGCAGAATATTTGAAGTTTTTGATATTTGATTTAGTTCCAGTTTGGAAGAATATGTAGTTTTTTGTTGCTGAAATTCCCTCTGAAGCAGAAATTTCCATTCCCTGCCCAGCTCTGGGGTGGTCTGACAGGGCTTTGGAAGCCTCTAAAACCTGAACTTCAAGCCCAAGAGTGTGGGAGCTGACTTTCCAGCTCTTTTAGCCCTCCCAGTTGTGTTGAGGAGCTAGATATGTTAGCCACAGAGAAGCAAACAAATAAACAAACAACAGCAGACTCTCAGTAGAACTGTTTGATTCCTGGTGTGGCTTTCTTTTTCCAAACCCTAGTCATCTCTTTGAAATCTCTGACAAATTGGCAATTTCAACAAAAACAAAAAAATTTCTTCAAATGTTTCCCACAGCTGTATTCTTAAGTCATGTGGCCCACCCCAACTGTAACAAGGAATCAAACATCAATTGAATACTAGATTAAAATACCATTCGTTCATTCTCAGAACAACAACAATAAAATCACACTCATTGCCCAAACCCTACAGCGACATTGCGCTGGTCACAAGTATTGCCTGAGACTGTAAACAATTGTGTGGCAGTAACAGAGGCAGAAATCCCTGAGAGATGGCAGAGAAAAATGCTAGAAAGATCTGCACATCACTGGTCTTCCTTTTCCCTGTGCACACCAGCCCAGGTGCTGCTGTCACCAGAGCACACCTTGGCCAGCTCTGCAGAGCCCAGTGTGTGTGACATGAAGAGTGTCTGTCCCTGTCTTTGCTAAGTCACGTGTGTGTCCCTGGCTTACAGCCTCATCTAATACCTGTCCACTTTCTACTTCCCAGCAAGGTGAAGGAGCCTTGTTAGCTACCACCAGGTGAAGTTAGCCATCTCTCCTGGCTAACAGGACATCTAAATTTGTCTCTTGGTGTTAAACCTTCCAGGTCTTCCTGTGCACTATTAACTGTCTATGAACAGCTTACAATATTGGTCTCTAAAAACAGAGAAAGTAGAGTAGTACTTTCCCATGCTTGTGGGTTTTTAATGACTCCTAATACTTCAAAAAAACAGAGGCTGCTTTTTCCTTACCTGCCTTATTCTAACCTTGAGTAAAACCAGTGCAGCAGAACTTTATTGAAAATAAACAGGTATTCACACTATGGCTGAAATCTTAAAACACAAAATACTGAGTCTCTAGGCACACGAGGCCTCATAACTCAGGATATTTCAGGCAAAATCATGCATCTCTGAAAGATGAATTTTATTTCTGGCTCACTAGTGAGCCCTCACACATCTAAAAAATCCTTATTCTTTGTTCCAGATGTTGATCTAAAATTAAAGCTATTTCATTATGAGACAATTTGATCTAATAATCATCAAGAAATCATGTTTTATATTCTCATTTTACTTTTTGTTAAAATTTGCCCAGTGTTACTGATTTTCAGGGAGTTAATTTCCAGATGAAAATCTACATGTCCATTTACCTCCATGATCTTTTCACATTTATTACTCCCCTTCCCAGAGGATGCACTCCTAAATCATAATCACCCATTTTAAATTTAATTTCTTTCCATAAAAGCATTAAATTTTAACTTTGCTCTGAAAATAATGTCTTTCTTGTCAGCCTAATGTCATTACTCTCTGCCTCTCTCCTTCTACTTACTTCAAGCTATGTCAATGCTGTTCCTGTGCACTGTGGAAGGTCTTGGACTAAATATTAAAAAAGAATTATTTTGCAAAAACAAGCTGTGTCTTCCACCCTTAGGTTCTTCAGTTTTCATTCTTGCAATACTAATCATAAATAATGTTATTCCCAGTGTAACTCCAAACAGACTTTACACAGTGTTAAAGGCATGCAATTCCCATATGGAGAAACACTGCTTCTGGCACGGGAATTAGGTTCACTTGCTAAGAGCTCTGGGCAGGGGAACTTCACTCTGAAAGGAAGAAGATTTATTGGGCAGGTTGAGTTCCAGGATTAAATGGCAGCTCTCTCCAGCTGCTGTGAGTTTAACCACACCACAAGAAAATGAATGAATGGGCAAGGAGCTGCTGTTATGACAGCCAAAGAGATTACTCATTAAAACCCTACACTCATATTTACTGAGTCATGAAGACACAGAAATAAATACTGTCATTGTGCAGAGTGATAATACAATGAGATAAACTCATGTGTGGGGCAAAAGCAACCACAGTAAGGGATTGCAGGCACTGAGCCCAGAGCCTTGTTTCAGCTTAAATGCAACTGAGTAAGAATAACCAGGTGGATCATAGGAACTTGCGTACACTTCAGACAGGCTCTGGCTCACCTCGAGTAGGGCAAGAAAGTGAGTGTGTTCACAGTTTCAACTGTACCACACTCAGCAAGTGACACTCCACAGATGGCAAATCCCTCAGGAACCACAAGAGACTTCGGGGGAAAGATCCTAAAATGGTGCTGGAACCCAGAACTGTCATCTGGTTTCTAGGATGCATGGCAGAAATACGAATGACAGTGCTTGTGTGGAAATCCTTTCCTTCTCTACTATGGAGTGAGGGTGCTGAGGCACTGGCACAGGTTGCCCAGAGAAGCTGAGGATGTCCCATCCCTGGAAGTGTTCAAGGCCAGGCTGGTCGGGGCTCAGAGCAACCTGAGCTAGTGGAAGGTGTCCCTACCCATGGCACGGGGGTGGAACTGGATGATCTCTAAGGTCCTTTCCAACCCAAACCATTCTGTGATTCTATGATTACTATGAATGTTTTAAATGCCTGGGAAAAGGTCAAGGGGTATGGACCTAGTATATATATATAGGAGTATACCTAGGTTAGTATTCTAACTCAGTAAGTCAGCTGGTTCCTCACACAAGCAAGAGAAGGCCCAAGCAGTGAGCTTCCTGTGAGGGAAGGAGTGAATCTGAGATACCTTTATTACTATTCTAAGCAGATAACTCAAAACCAGCATGGAAATTCTTTTAAAGTATGTTGGGTAAAGTACTGCTATCCAATCTGTCCTGTGTTGCACAGTCCTTGCAAAATAACAAAATCCCTTTTATTTCAGGAACTTTATCAAACCTTCACGTGTCTAAATAGGAAGCAAGTTCCTTTTGCATTTAGGAGCAGAATTTGGGCCCTTACTTTTGTGTCTGAAATGGCATCCTAAAGTGAAAGTGGCATCCTAAAGTGATTTTTCTGTACCTCTCATAGACATGCCAGTTTGCAGCCATAACTGGAGTAAAATAATATTGACATTAAAGAAAGCACTCCAGGGTGCCAATTTTACTCAGTCATTTTTAGAGTGAAGCCAAGCTTCAGGGGGAGCTATGTTTATTTATTGTGTAGTCATGAATAAATGCAACTGCACTGTATTTATCAACCCTGAGTTTTGTAAGTGCTCAAACCTCTCACAGAATATGTGCCTTTTATTTTACTATCATAATTTTCTTAATTACATCTCAGTTATGCACAAAAGCTAGATGAAGCATTAGTAAGCTTTTTTCAGTTCCTGTGAAGTCCTAGGGAGTCTCTAAAATGGAAATCTTTAGAAGAATAAATTACATTTACAGCAGAATCGCAACTCACATTAATCAAATGATCATTAAATCATCAAGATTCTCACTTCCAGATTGTTCAATAAACTTGGTTTCCTGTTTTTCTGCCTCTGTTTTGTCTGTAACTCTTATAACTCTTCAAATATTTCCTAAATTGGCATTTAAGCCCTATCTGTCAATTCTTCTGCGTAAGAGACTGCTTTTAATGCCAACATAAATGCACAAGTCAGAAAACACGGACAGACTTGCCTGGAAGACACATTCTTTCCATAATAAAGATCAATCCAACACTTCTACAATTACCAAGGTTAAATCACTTTGCAATCCATTTGCATAGAGTGGAGCAAAGTGTTTTAACTGCAAAGTCCTCTGTGAAGCTGACCCTCAAATCACAGTCACAAACTGTTAGCTCCACTAATTAAATTTAAGAAGTGCACTTGACAGCAAAAATAACACAAACTATCTTTGACATAAAAAATACAAATCCTACAACCATGTAAGAGATGCAGTAGAACCAAAATCTTAAGTCATTTTAATTTTTACCTTCATTATTTCATTGGCAGAACATCAAAGAGAAATTAGTATCCTATCAATTGTCAGTAGAGTTAAGAAATCTGTTTATGAACTAAAAGGTACTATTTTCTATGGCCAAATACATGTCACAGAATCAAAGAATCTCAGACTGGTTTGGGTTGGAAGGGACCTTAAAGATCATCCAGTTTCAATTCCCTGCCATGGGCGGGGAGACCTCACACTAGACCAGGTTGCTCCAAGTCCCATCCAACTTGGCCTTGAACACTTTCAGGTATGGACCAGCCACAGCTTCCCTGGGCAACCTGTGCCAGTGCCTCAGCACCCTCATAGGGAAGAATTTCTTCCAAATACCTAGGCTAAACCTACTCTCTGTCAGTGTGAAGCCATTCCCCTGTGTCCTGTCAGTCCAGGCCCATGCAAATAATCTCTCTCCATCTTTCTTGTAGTGCTTTCTTGTAGGCTTCTTCCAGAAACTGGACATTCTACGTAACCAGGTATCGCCTTGACTTGACCTTTAAGTTTCCCCAGCCCATCAATTCAACTAAGAACTGCAGGACAGTTACCTGTGTGGCCCCACAAAAGGCAATGGCTACATACATATGTGTATGTCTTCAAACCATGGATTATTCACATGCAGGATCTGCTGTGTTTCTTGATAAACTTTTGCCCAAGAATTTGGCCAGATTCACAACTGGTATAAACTGAAGCAGCTTTGTGACATTTGTGGTGGCACACTGAGATGTCCTGACTGTAGGCAGAGCCCAAGCCTTGTGAGCAGAGCACGGTGGGAAAACCTCTGAGTAGAAGACAGTACATGTCAGACAGATTAGAGCTGGGTGAGTCCACACTAGACTGACAGCAAAAATTCAAAGGACTTAATGGACAAGAAGTAGGTACTCAGGAAGTACTCCACAAGGCTAAATATGTTGAATTTAAGAGCTGGGTGCTTCATCTTCTAAATCAGCTTTCATACCTGCCATGCCTATTGCTTCACATGAAAATCTAAACTGCATTTTGACATCCAATACATAAATATGTACCTGCATTCTCTGGACTCAGATATTAGTGGCAGAGAAGCACATATTCTGTTTTTATTTGCCCATTCAACACCCTTGTCACAGCATTCTTCAACTGACAGATCTGCAGAAAGAAGAAAAGAAAGAAAAACAGAGCAATATATTTAATACAGTAAATGGTATTGCACCTGCCAGTTAAAAAACCCCAACCACACACGAATCAGTCTGTTTCCCCCTCCCTAGCCTATACAGAGGATAGGGCACCCATACAAAAGGCAGCCATGGGCAAACAAAGCACCTGTTAGCACCTTGCAATAAGCCCAGGTGCTGGAGGCATTCCTTCCATGGTGAAGCAAACCACAGGTTCCCCTAACCTTCCACACAAAGACAGCCTAGAGCCTGATACTCAGCAGAAAACAGTTGGAAACAACCCTGCACAGCAAAAGGATCTGCTAGATTGCACTCCATTATTATCAAAAGTGGCAGTAGTAATAAGCAATCATTTAAAATCCTGAAGAATACAGGATAAGTCAAATAACTGATATGAAAGACAGATGAATCTCACTACAAGTTAATTTGGAGAACTATTTTTTTTCCTGAGGTTATTATCCAACTAATCTGTTTTGTCTGTAAATGCAAAAGTACCGTAGAGAGGGATAGAAAGGTTTATGGTATTTTGATCACTTAACATATGACAGAAAAATTAATCCAGATACCAACTTACACCAACACTGAAACTAAGGGGAAAAGCACACTGAAGATAATTATTTGTGTAGAGTATATTTTCACAAGCCTCTAATTTAATAAAACTGAATACTGTTAATGAACTGACAAGCACTACAGGTTTGCTTCATATTCCAAGTGCAAAAGTTCACGGCACAGCAGGTGTATCAGGACTTGGAATAAAACATGAGTCACATTTTCCTATTAATTATCTTGTAGTCTGAACACCAAACAGCTCCTTGTGTAACCAATACACAACCTGTGTAAAACACCATCTGATTACCCAGAGGGACAAATTCCTAATGGTTTCTCTAGGTTTCATAAGCTTTCTGACTGATGGCCCTGACAGGCCGCACTCAGGAATGCTGAGACAGCTGATGGCATCTCCAGGCTGCTCATGATAATCTTACAGAGCCCATGGTGAATGAGAGAAGTTTGTGAAAAATGGGAGAACAAAAGCCTCCCTGTCTTCAAGAAGGACAAGAGAAAAGATCTGAGAAATTACAGGTTGGTCAACCTGTTCTAGAATCATAGAATTATTTAGTTTGGAAAAGACCTCCAAGATCATTGAGTCCAACCTGTGACAGATCACCACCTTGTCAACTAGACCAGAGAAGTAAGTGCCCAGTTCACTCATTTCTGGAACACCCTCAGGGATGGTGAAGCCAACACCTCCCTGGGAAGCCCCTTCCAATGCCTGACAACCCTTTCCATGAAGAAATTCTTGCCGATCTGAGGCTGACAGGTACCTCAGGAAGCTCCACAAATGGAAATGCTAAATTCTCTATTTGGGGAGGAAGAAGCCCTATGCTCCAGTGCACCCTGAGGACTTAGAAGCTGGAAAGCAGCTCTGCAAAGAAGGACCTAGGTGTCCTGGTGAACACCAAGCTAATCATAAGCCAGCAACACACTTCCACAGCACAAGAGGCCCACACCGTTTTGGGCTGCATTAGACAGAGCATTGGCAGTACATGAAGGGATGTGATCCTTCCCCTCTGCTGAGCTCTGAAGAAGCCATATCTGTAGTGCTGTGTCCAGTCCTGGGCTCCCCAGTTCAAGAAAGGCATGAACTTACTGTCATGAGCCCAGTGCAGGGCCAACAAGATGATCTATGCACTAGAGATCTTTCATATGAAGACAGATGGGAAGAGCTGGGACTGTTCAGCCTGAAGAAAAGAAGGCTCAAGGGGGTTGTGATTGATGTTTACAAAAACCTGACAGGAAGGGATGAAGAAGAGGGAGTCAGACTGCTCTCTGTAGTGTCCATGACAGGACAAGAGACAATTGACACAAATCATACCATATTAAGTTCCAAATACAAGAAAACACTACTGTGAGAGTGCCTAAACACTGGCTGATCTCAAGAGGTCCCTTCCAGCCTAAAAGGCTCTGTGACCAATTACTTAACACAGAATAAGTAAGACCCTTTCCTCTGTACGTTGCTGTGCTGCACAGAGGAAGCAAATCTCACTTATTTTTTATGGAGAAGATGAAGTACAGAAGGATGAAATGACTTGCCCAAATTACATATCAAGCTGGTGGCAGAACAAGGAGTGCACACCAGGTCATTCCCGTGTCTCACATGATTATCTCATCCTTAGTTTTGGTCCAAGCACATCTAAAGTGTGCACATTTCAACAAGCAGCCACATTATATTCAGGACTATCCATCTTCACAAATTACTTCCTGCAGAGTCTAGTAAGGACAAGCATCTGTCTCCTCTGGCTCTCCCTACACCAGTTGCAATGCTATCGTTCCCAGGTGCTCTGGATGTGTGGGGGTTACAGCTCCCTTCCATCTGTCCACACACACTCCTCCTGACTTGCTGCAGATATCAAGTAAGCTGAAATATTATTTAAACTGTTCATGACCACACTTACTTTGACACACATCAGACAGAGTTTGTATCTGCTCGAGCGGCAGATGCTCAGACATGAGGAAGGAAAAAGTAGCTGAAAGCAAGTAGAAAAGGTAATTCCCTCCACTAACTCAGGTGGGTTTTTTCAGGGAAAAACCTATATTCCCAACTAGTGATTATAATCCAAGGATTCAAAGCAAAAAGCAAAGAGTTAAATGAGATTTTAGGATGCATTAGTCATCTTGAGGTAGATATTCTTAAGATAATTGTCAACTCTACAGTGCAAAGCTCTGGAGTACTGTACAGAATTCTGACTATCCAAGATTACGTCAAAATGGAAAATGTGCTAAGGAAGATCAGGAGGACAGTCAAGGGAATCAAAGCCCTATTATATGAGGAGAAACTGGAAGAAACAGACCATTTTAACCATAAAATAAGACCTGTAAAAGTCTGTGGATTCTGTCAACAAATATTACAGCAGTGAACAATAATCAGAATTATGGGACAAAGCAAACCAAACATGTTTTAGTAATAAAACTATTAAACAGCATTACATTAAGTGTTAGTTTATAACAGAGCTCTGTACTCTTTGACCCAGGTCACCCTACTAGTCTTTCATACATACCCAAAATAATGGTCAACATTCTGTCATTACGAAGTCAAGGCAGTGTTTGTCTCTAATGCCTCAGTGTGTCCAGAATTCCTGCCAGTGTCTGAAAGCTAAGTGCAGTTTATAACGTTACAGAGAAAACCAGTGTTGTAAATATCTCTCTGCCTGTGGTGAAAGCCATGCATTTGTGTCTGAGCTCTTCTTCAGGAACAGGGACCCTGTCTGGTGCTCTCTGGCTGACAAACATCATATGCATCAAACTGCATACAATGGACTGCAAATAACCGTATTTTTAGTGCTGCTGTCTGCAATCAGTCTTCACTGTGTTGAAAAATGATACACGTTTAACTGAAGTGCAGAGCTGGCTGCAGGTTTTTGCAGAGCTTTTTACAAATGGGTCTTTAGCCAAGTTCCTCCCCAGAAGGACAATCCCTGGCTCTGGACACCAGTTCTTCCATCCAAGCTCTGGCAATACACCTCTACTCCAACCAAATAGTTCAAGAATTCAAAGCAGGCCAAGCTAAGCAAGATTGTCTGTAGGAGTGCATCCAGACAAAGAAGGATCACGGAGAGTTTGCTGAAGGAGAACCATAGTCCAAGCTCATTGTTTTGGTGACATCACAATTCATATCCTCCAAAGATCCTGCCAAAAATCTCTTGAGAATAGAGGGAAGTGAAAAACAAGCAGTAAAAAGAGGACTCCACCCTCAAGGCCATTCTTCTAAAACATAGCAATTAAACAATGAAAAACATTTTCTCTTGGCTTTGCAGTTTGCTTTAAAAATGGTAACCCGTGGGCAAAGCCCTTCTCCTTGAGAATCTCAGAAAGTCCATGTCTCATGCCTTGGGTGTCGACTGCTGATTGCACTAGAAGTGATTCTGACTATTTTGGCATTAAGAATTGTTAATGAGTATTCAGAAACAGGACAGACTTACCATCTCCAAACTGTATTTTTCCAGTGTTGTGGACTCAGCTGCACACACAAGTGTATTCATGTGGCTCCCAGCTGGAAATCCTTGGGCAAGCAGCTCATACTGAGGCCATTTGTGTCTCCTTACACCCTCTTCAGGGGACCAACAGCTTGGGGGGGCCATGGCCTCCCTGCAACCTCTCCTAACAATGAGCTGGTACTGCAGGGTATCCAACAGGATGGGGCAGTGGGAAGCAGATGGTAGAACTACTCCGATAACAACACCTCGAGGAATCTCACTGAACAGAAAATGATGATTGCTTTTTCTCTGTGACCATGTGTCTCTTAGCGCAGCTGATGTGTTTGTGGCACCCCCCAGAGCTGGAGTGCCAATGATGATCAAGAAGGAATGACAGTACTGCTCTTCTGAACCTGGTGCTCCTTCAGGGATTTTGCCAAGTGCATAATGTTTCATGCAAATCAGCCAGAGAAATCTCGAGCATTCAAGAGACAAAGCACATCTGGGAAAGGCTGATGACACTGACTGTGTTCAGCTGAAATGTGCTCTTTTATTTGGAGGGAGAAGCCCTACAGGAAATTTGTCATGTGTAGGATACACTGCCTGGTCCATGTCGTAAGTCTGAGAAGCAACTGTTCAACTTTCTGGTATTACGAGACCAAAAAAATATGAGGATAAACTAGAGCTCTGTTAGATGGCAACACGTTGACTTTCTCTTCATCGGATATAATTTGCACGCTAACTGACTTGCTGAGAAAACCCAAGTTTATTTTGGATAAAATCCACTGTAACTTTACCACTACTTTGTCCCTGTACAAAAGTATGTACAGCTAAACATCCAAAAGAACTTGAGCTGTGTTAGTATGGTAACAGTGAAGACACCTGTCCTGATGGGTACCTGGTGGTCTGTGTTGGATTCTGAGAGAGATTTCAGGAGTCTCAGGAAGGGGACAGCAGAAACACAGCTGGAACTCAGCTCTCCAATTTTACGAGAGCTG